TCTCAGCAACTTATTGTTGAATATTTCTTAATAGGATCCTCCAGTACTCCTGAGAGTTCTGCACTGTATTGTTTGCAGCTGGATGTTGCAGCTGGAAATGGTGCTTTGAAGTAGGGGTAGAATAGTGCTTTGACTTGGAAGTCAAGCCAGTTGTTGCCTGGTAGGAGAAATAAATTGTACTGATAGTTAGTCTGCCAGTGTCAGCCCCTGGACTTCCCGGGCCCTTCTTAGATTTGGACTTGGTTTCTTTCCTCTCTGGGTCTCTCTCTGAGTTTTTTTGGTAATAACTGTATCCCATTGCTTTCACAGGGGAAGCTGTTGTATTGCCATCCACCTCCTGGCATTGACCCAAGTGATTTTCAGCACCAGCACCAAGGGTGCCCAGAGAGCAGAACCGTGCAGGCCAGTGGACAGGTGAAGCCTGAGAAGAATACCAAAGCAAAACAAATTGAAAATGTGGTGGACAAAACATTTTTCCACCAGGTAAATTCTGGAGGAGATTTATCCTAGGAGTTTTTACAGCAGCACTGCTGTATCATAGTTACTGGAAAAAATAGCTTTGAGGATGGAGGGGTGCTGGGTTGTTAATGGTGTTAGATGCCATTGGCATCTCCACGTAATTTCTACCCAAGAGCTCTCTGTTCTTTTTATCATCTCCTAAATCACTGGGAATGTGCTAGGTGACTGAAAGATAGCTAATGAGGTGCACATAGTTGATTTTTAAAAGGTCAGCAGGGTGACCCTCATCATTATGGGCCTAACATCAATCTTGAGCAAACAGGAGAGTGGCTGGGGAGAAAGGCAAGGAAGGAGGGTGGTGTGCCACAGCAGCTGGCCAGGAACATGGTTTTGGACTAACAGGCCCTTCACACTAACTTTTCTTGAGATGATTTATTTAGGGGACATAATAAGCTTCTTTAAGACAATTGTTTTAGTACTACATGGTTGTTTTGACTCAGAACCTGAAATCAGATGAAAAGAACACAGAAACATATTTAAAATCTAATTGAGAAATCTCAAAATGAAGTGGAAAGTGGGAATTTCTCTTAACTTACATGCTTCTTGTTAGGTCGCACAGGGATCTCTTTTGCCCCTACGCCACTGAAAAAATTTATTAGTGACTTGTAATGAAGTGTCAGATCCATGGCTGATGAAGTCTGCATACCTGACAAAGATCAAAACAGGGTGTTTAGCAGTGAAGAGGAAGGGCCATAGACAGCGTGATCCGTTCTGCTTGGTTAGCTGGATATGAACAGTATTTGTTTCAGTGCAGCTAAAGATAGTCATGCATTTTGAAAACAAGAACGCAGGCCCTTTTCAAAAAATAGTGAGCTGTTTCAGAAAGCTACGACCTGAAAAGAATTTTTGGGATTACCAGACTCTTCCTCTGGCTGCCCAAAGTGTTGGCACGAGCTGTGAGCCCCGGCAGTGCTACCCACGCTCCAGACTTGAGCAAGTTATTTTGGTCTCTGGCTTTCACAGACGCCAGATTTATTTGTAAAGACAATTTGTTGTGTGCAAAGCAGACTGTGAGAATCAATCCTAGCACCGTAGCTAATGTCTGTCGGAGCTTGGTGTCTCGTCAACGTTCCGCCTCTGCTTGCAGTGGCAGATGCTGAGGACCTGGTGCAGCATGGCATGGCTGCAGACAGAACTGGAGCATGCTGGAAGGCTTTGTCTCAGCTGTGTGGTGTGACCTTTCCTGCAGCTCTGGAGCTGGGGGCTGAGCAGGTCTTGTAGGGTTGGGGCTTGCCTGTGTCTGGTTTTAGTAACATATCACAGTTCCTTGTGGTTAAACATCATCTCATTGGTGACTGGTGATTCTGTCTTCTCTTCCAGGAGAACGTCCGTGCCCTGATGAAAGGGGTCCGGGCAGCAATGGGATACCGGCCCGGCAGCGGCCTTGTGCCTGTGACTACACCCAATCCTGGGAATGTGGTAGGAAAGCCCTGGAAAAAACATGGAAACAGGAACAAGAAGGAGAAAATTCGCAGGATCACTAAGCACCTGGAGGCTTAGCTGTGGCACTGGTATCTGGCCTTGCCAGGGCAGGGACTGCACTGTCCTGCAGGCCTGAACTTAGTGAGGGACCGCCTCGTGCCGCCGGGGTGAAGTGGGGGGGGGGGGGGGAAAGGATAAGTGGGCATCGCTAGCTCACCTGGGAGCTCCGTGCTATGGATTGGCCTGGGCAGGGGATAAGAGTGCACTCTGATAGTTGGAGCTCATCCCTTTTGAGAACAAGAGACCTGGCCGTTCGTGGTATCTGGAAGCCAGCCTAGCTGTTTGACTGCTGCTGAAACCTCCTTTCAATGGGAGCAGATGGAACCATGCGGGAATGTTGTTTCCTTCCATAAAGGATGTATTTTATAGCTGTTGGGATCAAAGCAAGCCCTGTAAAACTGACTAAAATGTTTAAACAGTTGAATCTCAATGAGTGATGTTGCATTTTGAGAAGCTATTGGTCATCTTTTTTTTTTTTTCTTTTTAAGTGCTCGTTTGTTGATTTGACAGAACACTTTAGTGTGTTGAAAAATGAGGTAAAAGGATCTTTATTGCCCTCTTCCTTTTCTGCTATACCAGCCCTATTCTGTAGAATCTGGTACTGAAACCACTCCCTATCTCCCAGCTGAAGGGAGACCAGAGCACAGCACACCGTGCAAGGAAAATCCTGCTTTTATATCCTTCACACTGAGCTGGTATCAGTTGTTTTTCTGTGTGACTTCCCGTTGGTATTTTAAAACATTAGCTCCATGTGACTGGCCAAAAATCTGGTGCTAATTTATCCTTAAATATATTTGAGATGTTACTTCCTATATGGCATCATGTTCTGCCTCACTGATCTGTTAGGCATTGACCTAGTTGCAGAAGTGTCATAAAGGCAGATTTTAATGCATATGTTAATACTTGACACTAAAAAGACTGAACTTACTTGGGGTCAGACTTAAGTGAAATTTACTCCTTGGTTGCCCTGCTGAGAAAATGTTTGTGCGCTTGGCCAGTGCTCTTCATTCCTAGTCCAGCGCAGGGAGTAATGATAGGACTGGAAAGGCTCGCAAAGACAAACTGTGCTTTGTTTTTAGGTCGTGAACCAGAGTAACAGATGATGCTGGTCTCTGATGCTAAAAAAAGGGATTGCTGTCTTGTAATTTGTACTTCTCAAGCCTTAAGTGTGGATGGAGAGATTAAACCAACTGCTGAGCAAAGCCACAGCAGATGTGGGGTGTGCAACCAAGCTGGTTTTGGCTTTGTGACCCTTTGTGCTGGTCCTGTACAGCCGGTTCACGCTGTGCATGCGGAGGGTCCCCTGACAGCAGAGCTCTCGCCTTGGCTCCTGCTTCCCCTGGAGTCCCTACTCTCGAGTTAAAAATTACATCCCTGGAAGGAAGATATTTCCCTGCCACCTGAAAAACTAAAGCATAATTATACTGAATGAATACGGTCAATGGTATTTTAAGTCAGTGTACCATAATGGAAAGCAGATTCTCAGGAGAGACTATTTAATCTGGTTCTCCTGGAGAAGGTGAGTTTCGCCTTTGTTTCCTGAAGAGGTTGTGCCCTAGGCAAATCAGTCTTTGATCAGACTTCCCCGCCCTCCTTGGAGGGATGGTTTCTGCTTTTGTCCCTTACAATGCTTTAGGGACCTGATTGCTCAGAAACATCCATTTCTTTTCGTCTGTCTTGTGTGAAGCTACTATCTGTCAAATTACCTGTCAAACTGAAGTTGGGGTATCCTTTATTGAAGTTTTAAGCTATTTTTTCTATTCTATTTCTTTCCTTCAAAGCATTTTGAATTCTTTGTTCTTGTTGCAAGTACCTGAGTTTTCTTCTTTTGCATTCTCAGCCCTTTACTGCCAGCTGGGTCTCCATGAGCCTCCTTGCTGGACAGGCTGTGTCCTGGTGTAGACCCTTCCAAATCTAGTGAATAACAGGAATCCCCAGGGCCTGGGGCTTGGGGAGGACTCTGCTTGTTGCTCACAGAAACCTTTGGCCACAAGACCTGCCAAACCACTTGCAGTGTTTGCGTGAGTGAATGGAGGATAATGTAAATACGACCGAGCAAATAATGTTTGCTCAGGTTTGTTAAATGCAAACTGCTCCTTGCTGTGCTAAAGGACTCTTGCCTCGATAGAAGAAGGAACTATAAACAAGAGTTGTGGACCTAAAGGCTTGTTAATATTTTATGCTGCTATTGAGCAGTGGGCAAACTAGGTAATGGGCGAGGATCGTGGTTAAATTAATGCTTTCCTGTGGTGGTTTGGTCTGTTGCTGAATCGCATCCGCCCTGCTCTACCCTTGCCGGGGAACGCCAGCCGGGCCGCGTCGACAGCTCGGTACAGTGCGTAGGAGCAGCTGGCAGGCGTGAGGCAATGCGGGGCTGCTCGGTTGTCAGGAGCCTGCACAAAGGAGATGTTGTGCTTTGCCCCGGCCACCTGCTGAAGGAGCCTCTCCTGCTCCTGTTGCTTTCTGCAGAAGGCAAGTTTCCGTTTTTGAGTGTTGTTTTCTTAAAGTGCTTTGTGCGTGTGGAGGGAGCGTGCGGGCTGCAACCGGCTCCAGTCTGTTCTTTGGGATCCGCAGCAATGTCAGCACCCCAGCGGTCTGCCTCCCCTTTTAAGGGGCTTTGCTTTATAATACAAGCAGTTTGTTTTCCTGGCTGATGTCGTTACCTGCTGCACTGATACCTGCAGCAGAAGCGCAGAGCTGGTTTGGGAATATGGTTTGAAGCCAAACTTCCCTTTTACAGCATCTTGCGCTTGCATCTCCTTGCAGGGCAGGAGCTGGAGCTGCCATTCTCCTCCGGGTTTCTTCTGCTCAGTTTAGGGAGCCCTAGTCTGACCAGGAGTCTGCTCCCAGCAGTGCGTGGTACTTTCTGCCCCAGGGGAGCTGCTGGGCGCTGCTGGGTGCTGTACCGTGGGTGGAGGGTGGTGCTGGGTGCCGCACCTGCAGGGCAGTGCCGGCAGCCTGTGGTGGCACTCCCTGCCCAGGGACGCTCGGAGCCAGCCATGCAGGGGATGCTGGCTGGGGGGCACGGTGGCTCTGCTGCCTGGCCAGCAGCTTGTCTGGCAGGGGAGCCAGGCTGCGTGTCCTGGGGGCTCTGGATGCTGGCCGCGCTATGCTGGATCGCCGCCCGCTCGCTGTAACTCCCCGGGGCTGGGCTGGGCTGCGGGAGGCTGCGGGGCTGCTCTGCTCCGACGTCCCGCAGCGCCGAGCGCGGCTGGAGCAGCCTGTCCCTCTGCCCTAGGCTGTCCTGCGGGTGCCCGGGGCAGGGCCGGCGGCAGGCGTCCGTCCTTTGCCTCCTGTACAGCTTCCTGGGCCACATCTGCAACGCGGTCGGGGCACTGCTCGCCAGCCAGCTCAGCATCCAGGTGGGCAAGGCTCCATGCGGCAGGGTGAGGACACACCCCTGCACCCTGCTCAGCCCCCGGCGCGGCTGTGGGACCCACACCTGCCTGCCGGAGGTGCTGCTCTGCCGCCCTGGGGTGCTGGGCCTGGAGGGGGGGCGGATTTTGGCAGCCTGGCTCAAGATGGCATGGCAAATGCAGCCCCTCACATGGGGGGCTGTGAGCTGCTGCCTGAGGTTTTGCATTTTAGGGAGGTTCAGCCTCCCCGTGCCATCGCGTCTCTCCCCAGATCCTCACAGGCGCCTACATGGCTGTGGCCAACGTCCTCCGCTTCCTGCTTGCCGTCTTTCCCCCCTGCCCGCCTGAGACCCAGGAGATGGCAGGTTCGTGCAGAGTTGCCCCTCCTGCCATCCGTGCTTCGGGGAGCACTGCGCACCCCTGGTCGGGCAGCCCGGCACGGGCACCTTGGGGACAGCAGCGCCTGAGGTAGCCACGTGGCACCCTGGGCAAGCAGTGGGTGGCTGGGTGGCCCCTGGGACAGGTGAGGAGTGGGGGACCCAGCACAGCCCACGAGGGTGGAATGGGGCAAAGCCTGTCCCTGGGGATGACGGCCTGAAAGCGAGCCCGTGTCCCACGCAGGTCTGCCCCGCCAGCAGAGGAGGCGGCGGCGGCGGCTGCGGGACGGCCTGCTTGCCCTCGCCCTGCCCCTGTCTGTGGGTGCTGGCAGGTCTCTGCTGGCACCCAGCCCCCGGCCCTCCTGGGAGCTGCTCCAAGGAGCCCGGCGGAGGCTGCTCGGCGCAGTGTTCGAGGTGAGCTGCCCCCTCCTCGTCCCCCCCAGGGTTGGGTGGGCAGCGGGCAGAGCCTGGGTAAGCACAGGCAGCTGCCAGGCTCTGAGCACCAGTGGGTTTGGTTCAGTTGTATTTTCTCCTTTAGCACCCTTGGTGCTGCCCAACCTGTTGTCTCAGCTTCCCAGGGCTGTGTGCCCTTGGGGTGCCCCAGGCTGGTGCAGGGCTGCTTTGTGGTCCCCCAGAACCCACCCCAGCCTCTGCACCCCAGGGGCCGGAGGCCGGGAGAGGCAGCCCCCGCACACTGTGGCACTTCTGGTCTGGCAGGAGCAGGGGTGAAGCCCTTGGGATCGTCGAGGAGGCTGGGAGCAGCCGGTGGGGATGGGGCTCCTGCCCCACGCTCTGGGTGGGCTGTGGTGGAGGTGTTCCCCTGCCTCCCCTGGTTCTCCCTCCCTCCCTCCCTCAGGACAACACAGAAGCGCTGGGGTTTGTCCTGGGGCTGCTCTCTGCCCTCATTGCCCTCACGGCCAGGATCCCTGCGTTCTCCAGAGCAGTAAGTGTCTGCCTGGCATGGCTGCCCTTATGCCCCCCAGTCCCAGGCAGGGCTCCGTAGCCACGACAGTGACTCCTGCGTCCTGTTGCAAAAGCCCCGGGGGGACGCCAGGCGCCCGTGCCCCTGCGCAGCCCCTCCCAGCTGCTTGGTCCTCGGGCAGCCGCGGGGTTCGGCACAGCAGCCCCCTTCCCAGTGGGGTGCGGGGTCCCTGTGCTGGCTGCAGCAGTGTCCCCGTCTGGGGACAGGCTTTGTGGCTCCAAAGCAGGCTCTGGGTGACTCAGTGCAGGGGGAAGCCATGCTCGTGGAGGCGGCTGTGGGCCACCCCCTGCCCGGCCGCAGCCGGCGTCCTCTACACAGCAGCGATTGTCACCCGTGACCAGCAGCCTGCGCGCATCCTGAGGGCCCTGCCCTGGCTCCTGGTGGCCCTGGGCTCGGCTGCGCTGGATGTGGCCGTATCCTTTCCCAGCTCCTTTCCCGGGGCTCTTGGCTGGGATGAGGAGGTGGATGGGGCACAGCTCCTCTCCTGGACCCAGTGCCTGGGCTGTGGGACTGGTGTGGGGAGGGGGCTCTGCTGTCACTCCAGAAATACCCTTAACGGGGACTCAGCTCCTGTTCCTCGCCTGCACGGCCAAGAGCCAGAAGGGCCAGCGGCTTGTACCAGAGGTCCCCGATGCCTGGGCCCTCCTGGCTGGAGAGAGGGAGGAAGATGACAGGGGAGCAGTGGAAGAAGAGGTTTTTTTTTTCCTCTCTCTCTGGTTGAAGGGCGGAAAGGAGAGCTGCCCCGCTCGGCAGCGTTACTGCTCTGCCTCCCCAGGGGAGGGTGGAGGGATGGCAGGGGCTGGGGCCCCTGGAGGAGTGGTATGGAGGGTTGGCATGCTGCAGGGCACAGCTGGCGCTGGGAACGTCACCCTCGCCACAGGGCCACGTGCATTTTCCTGCTATGCTGACCTGGGAGCAGCTTGGCACTGGTGTGCAGCCCCCAGATGCTCCCCCGGCCCTGGTGGTCACTGCAAGGCGGGAGGCTGGTGGGGGTCCCTCTCCCCCTCCCCTCCCTCTGGGGGAGGTCAGCTCAGCACCATCCTGCACCTACCCAGGTCCCCAGTGCTTAGTGTGGCTAGAGCGACGCTGCTGTTGGATGGGGTGGGTGCTATGCCCCTTGGTGCAGGCTGTGGTGCGGGCACAGCTCTCCTGGTTGTAGCTGACGTGGTTCACTCTCCTTTGCAGGCTGCAAGCTGGGCCCCACTTAACATGGGGGGGTGGGTCAGGGATGCTCTTACCCTCCTGGCAGAGAATGGGCTCTCTGCGGATGGCTGTGGGGGGTGTGTGTGCCCAGATGTGGGGGGACAGAGCGGGTGCATCTGCCTTGCTGTCCTGCACAATACGGAGAGTCCAGCAGCTTGTGGATGCTGTCGCAATGGGAGCCCTGAGGTGGTGTGCACGTACCCGGGGCTGCTGGGTTTTGGTGCTCTCCCCGGTGATGTCTCCCTTTGATGTCCTCCTCTTGCTTTCTGTCACCTGTCAGACTGGTCACAGCGTGGGGAGGCTGCCCAGGGATGCACAGACGGGCGCAGCAGGCCCTGCACCACCACAGCCCCCTGCCTGCCCCCCGCTCCCAGCCCTGCGTGCTGGCCTCTCCTCATCCAGCTCCTCCGATGCTGCCTCCATCAACTCAGAGCTTGAGGTCAGTGCCTGCTCCTGACTCTTTAGTGCTGTTTCTTCTCCCTTTGGGGCTCTGCCTTGCTGTAGGTGTACGTTAAGGCATCCACCCCATACGGTGACAGTCCTGGCACCGGGGGCAGGTCTAGAGCCTGGTTTAGATGGGTCCATCCCAGGGCAATGGCCAGGACGCTGCTGAGGTGCACAGGCTGTGTTGTAGAGCAGAGGTCAGAAAAAGAGCGTGGAGACTAGTATGTTCTGTCAAGGCGTGGGTGAACCATCATGGCATCTCTGCATCCCCTCAGACAAGTGTGCCAGCCCCGCTTGCAGCCTTGCTTGCCCGCCCGGGGAGCCTCCATCCACGGCTGCTCCTCAAGAGGCTGGAGCCAGGGTGAACTCCAGGCTGTCCCAGGCTCACTCGAGGGTCTTTTTACTCTGGCTGAGCTGTAGCTGGCATGGCCCTGCAGAGAAGCTGCTGGGAAATGAGGGGATTTCACAGGGCTCCTTTTGGTGGTGTTACCTTGGCCCTTCTCTTTCCTGTCTGCCTACTAGTTAGTGGAGTTTTATTATCAGGAGAGGGGCAAGACTTGTACTTTTTCAGGGCTTCTCTGTTACCTCCTGGCAGTCTTGCTTAGTTTCTCCTAAGGGCTTTTCCCACTCGGGCTGCTGCTGTTGGCTGCAAGAGGGTTTCAGTGCAGGTCGTCCTGGTGCAACACTGGCCCCAGTTCTGCTCTGGAGGTCCAGAAGGCTGGGGCTGTCCTTCACACACAGGACTTGGTGTTGCATGTCAGAGCTGCTGCCTAGGCTGTCCACCTACTAGAAAATGTGCTTTGCAGGGTCTGTTTTGGGGCAGAGCAATGTTTTCTTTTTGTTTTCTCTTTTTGGGGGAGAGCAGTATTTTTTTTTACTCTTTGGGGGAGATCAATATTTTTTTACTCTATCCCTGAAAATGGAAGCATTGTAGGCAAGTAAGTGAGGGGGATGCCAGGACGCACTCACCAACTGCAAATCCCTGAGCCACTCTGCTGTGGGGCACCATGGCTCTTCTACTGCTGCGGTCCATGGCAGGTGATGTACGTGCCTCGCTCCCCTCAGCTTTGCAGAGCCAGCACTACACAAAAGAAGCCCTTGTCCCATCTGCAGACCAGGCTGTGTGGCTGGGCAGGGTCACAGCCAGGTTTCTTGGATCTTTTCCTGATGTCTCAGCACAAGGATCAGTGGGACGATGACTTTTGCACCAGGGAGTCCCGCAGCAAGGGGCTGCCACACGTGCATCTCGCCAGCTTTCTGCAGTCACAGCCTGCACAAAATACTTCATTATTCCTCTGGAGGAGGCTGAAATCCTTCTCTCCTGCCGTTAGGGGCCGGCCTTTCCAAGGCAGAGGGAGAGCGGCCCTGGCCATCAGGCGGGTGTCCCAGTGCAGAGGTGTGGGTGCCCTCGCAGTTGGGGATGCCAGCAGAGGTGCGGGTCCCCGGGGGCTCCCCCGCACCACCCCTGCAGAGCGGCACACCAACGCGCTGTTCCCCGCCAGCCTGCTCGAGAGGGCGGTCAAGAGGGCCGTGGTGGGCAAAGCGGCTTTTGCCCTGGCAAGTCAGGAGCTGGGTCCAGGCCCTCTTTGGCTGCTTCTGCTGAAGTTAGGCAGCTCCTTCCTGGCTGGCCTGAAACACCATTGCTTTAAAGTAAGCAGCAGCTGCCTTTTTTCTCTGCTCAAAGCTCCTTCCCTGCTCCCATGAGCTTCAAGCCGTTGTCTGGCCCCGGCAGGTTCCTCAACCCCATGCATCTACGAGGAGCAGTGTTGTGCTCTGCCACCCTCCCTGTGTGGTGGCTTTAGGCCAGCTTTTTTCCCCCCCAGTTGTTTGTGGTTTTGGTTTTTTGTTTGTTGTTTTGTTTTGGTGGGTTTTTTTTCCCCTTTTGCAGCTGAAATATTGGGGAAAAATATCACTGGGCTGCTGGGAGAGAGGCAGGGAGCAGCTCCCCAAGGCATCTCACGGTATAATTTCTCAGGGCTAAATGCCTGAGGTGCCCAAGCCATCTTGGGACATGAAGAGAGGTCATGGTGAGGACAAGAGGAAAAGAAACCACTCCTGAGTCAGAGGAACTCTGCCCCAGTGTTTTTTCTTGCTGTGGCTGTGGGAAAAGGGTCTGTCCCATGAGTGGTGTCAGGGTGGGAGGGCTGCGCTTGCTGGGTGGAGCAGACTTGGGTTTGCACTCCTGGAAATGTCCCCCTCTGATCCCCAGCCCCTTGTCACTTGGGAGTCATAGCAGTTGAGGCAAAGAAACAAACATCGTCATGTCCCTGACGGGAAGTTCCCGCAGTCCAGCCAGGCTTTTGCTGCCTGCACAGAGCAAAGGGAAGCTGGAAGCCTCTGCAGAGCCCCTTTGTCTTGGCTGGTGTTGGTGAACCAGCCCAAGCTTCATCTGGGGCTTCACAGGGCTTTTTAGCAAGGGTTGTCTTTGCCTGGTGGCTCTCAATCATCTGTGCTTGCGGCAGCGCAGGGGGGTGCTCAGGAACCCTTGCTGTGGGGGTCCCAAGGAAAAGGGATTCTCCCTCTCTTGTCTCGGTCGGCCACCACCCCGTGTGCCCCTAAGCCCTCTCCTCACGTTGCCTGGGCGGGGAGGGAAGCGCATGAGAAAAATGGAAACCAGTGTTGTTCTGCTTTCAGCTTTGCTTGTGTTGTTGTAGAGAAAGGGAGAACCAAATACTTTCTACTTTCAAACATAGCCAATTCCCCTTTCTGGGAAAGCACAGGCCCTGTGCTGGCCGCGGGTAGCAGTGCTGCCCGGGGCTCCCTCGCACCCAGCAGTGGGACTGGCTGATCCTTTCTTTTCACAGTGGGACTTTGAAGACATGACGGTGCAGTGGAGCCGGGCCAGCCCTGCTGCTCAACCTCACTCCATGCTGTGCTCAGGCACCTTCGGACAACGTGCAGCCCCTCCGAGGTGCCCTGAGCACCCATCCCCCTGACCGAGCAAGCAGTAAACAGCAGAAGGTGCTTCCTCGGCGCTCCCCTGCGAGAGGTGATAAGCTCTGGGGTGCCATTACAGGCTGCTGTGCCGTGCCTGGAGCACTGCCTAGGTGGAGCGGTGACAGCTTCCAGCATCTCCTTTCACCCTTGTCCTGCTGCAGCGGGGTGTGGGGGTCCCCCTTCCCTGCCACTGTTGGCTCCACCCTCTGGGATTGGGGCTGCAGGAGAGGTGCAGCCACACGGCTGGATTTAAACCCAGCAGTCTCCCCTTTTGGTTGGGCTAGTGTTTTCCCCAGCGTCGGGGATTACAAGCCCTGCCCAGTCACACTCTGCAGACTGGAATGGAAGCCTCCTGATCTGCCCAGCACGGCAGGAGATGGGGACAGTCCCCGCTGTGACTTCCTGCTGCTGGCTGCCACGGTCATCCCTGCCTGCCAAACACTAGCACTGCAAGCCAGGGACCAGCGAGACAGAAACCCACCTGGAAGGTTACAGATGTCTGGAGTGCTGTACGTGGGGGACTGGCCCATCACTTGTGGTCTGCCTGGCACGTACCGTCTGCTCCCGCCAGCTGCCATAAACGAGAGCGCTGCCAATTGCTGTGATGTGGAGGTGAATTTCTTGCCCTGGGATGATTTTGTGCCTCAAAATGCGTGTGGTGCAGATCAGAGGAAGCTGCAGAAATGTGGGAGCCCATGAAAAGCTCAGGAGGAAGCGGCTGGTTTGCGTTTGCAGTGCTGGCTGTGTTCAAGTGCCTTGGGCCCTGTGTGTGCTGGTGAGGTTGCAGCTGCAGTGCGGAGTCCTGGGGATGATGCCCATGATGATGGATTTGTTGCACATGAAGCACTGCTTTGTCTTAAACCTTGTCCGTATCTTTCAAATCCATGTGCCATGCCCTGCTGTCCCAGCCCTGGGATGCTGGGAGGGGAAGCCCTGGGCATGTTGGACACTGGGCTGGAGCAAGACGATCCGGGGCAGGGACTGGGAGAGCTGTCTGGCTGCTCTCCTGCTCCTCTCTGTTACAGAGCATGGGGGAAGAGCAGAGCTTCCCACACAGGAGAGCAGTGGAGAGCACAGCTGGGGCCAGTTTGTGCCCTGCAGCTGGGGCTTAGCGCTTTTCCACAGGGTGGGTGGTGGTGCCTCCTACAAGGAGCACATCAGGGAAAAGAGCCTTTGCTATAGCCCTGGGCTAACGGTGGCTCCCATGGTCTTTTCTGAGGTGCTGGTAGCTTGTAGCTGTCCTTCCTTCCCAACGGCACGCATCCTGCCCTGGCCTCCAGGCTCTGCTCTGGCTAAATAAACTGGAAGGAAGAAAGAAATGGGAGACTATGGTGTTTCAATGCCATGGTCAAATCTCATCGAGCCATGCTGCCTGGCACTACGCTCCCTCCAGGTGAACAGCTGAGCTGGCACCTGGCTCAGGCAGGGGAAAATGCATGGTTCATTAACAGGGTGAGGCTTAAGGGGGTGAGGATGGGCCCCAGGGTGGCCAGACCCTGCCTAGTTTGCCTGCAGCAGCAAAAGGAGCCTTTGCAGAGCTCCCGCTGATAAGAAGTGCCTGCATTCATGTTTCCAAAGGCCCGAGCGAATTGCTGAGTGGCGAGGCTCAGAAATCCAGACGCCAGACAATGGAAAGGCTGGAAACATAAAGGAAAGGAAATTCTTCTGCTGTATTGCCTTTCCTATGGCGATAAGATAACCCAATGTGAAACAAAAGTCTCCGCTGCAGACAGCGGGGTGGGCGCTTTGGAAAACGGCAGGAGGATGTCTGCATCAGCCGGGATCTCCCGCGCCGGTGGGGCGCAGCTGGCGTGCGTGGCTGTCGCACAGGTGTGCAGCGGGCTGCGGTGTTGGCGGTGCTTTGCAATGAGTCTTGAAACAAGTAAGCTGGCCTGCTCCTGCTCCATCCCACAGGCCCATCTGTGTCCTTTATTTACACACTGACAAGAGAAATCTTACTTTAAATGCTCTGGGAGAGCTGAGAAAAGTGAGGCCATAACATTTGCTAGTGACACATAATTACTGGGTGTATGAACATCCCAAATCTGGTGGCAGAATTTGTTGAAGGGGTTTAGCACTGCTGAGTGGCGGGGGGACAGTGGGATGGGTTATGTTGCATGTCGGAGCAGTGGAGACAGGGACGGAGAGTGTGTCCATGCGAGCAGGGCTGGGAACAGGATTAGCTGCTGCCGTAGGGGAGGCTAGTTGTGGGGGTGTGGGGCGTGTGGGAGCTGCTAGGGCGAGGGCTGCAAGTGAATCCCGTGCCGTGCCAGTGTGTGTACAGTGCTGGGCATACCCCATAGCTCCCAGAGCTGTATAGGCCATGAGAAGAGGAGCAAGGACAGCAAGGGGCATGGATGGCATCTGAGTAAGGAACGACTAAATGGGGTGGGCCTCTGAAGAGATGTCCTGTCCCAAGGAGGGGATGTGGTGGCGTGGGTACCATCGGGGCAGCAGAGGAAAGAAAAGGATGAGTGCTTCTGCTGCGTCTCAAAGCACAAGGACAGGGAGCTCTGAAATGAAACTGGCCAGAGACAAGTTCAGACTACAGCCTGTGTACTCAGAAAGACCAAATTAACTGCGGAAATCATTGTGGGCTATTTTAGGCAGTGAGACTGGGATGAATGATGAGAGGAGTTCAAGGAGGCAGGCCAGGGCTGCCCCTCTGGCTCAGGAAGCCCCCGGGCTGTGGCCGCTGGGAGCGGCAAGGCGGGCAGCAGGAGGTCACCCTGCGCTGCCCTGCTCCGCTTTGGCCCCAGGGCTGAGCCTCTGGTCCGCCCCAAGGGCTGCTTTGGTGTCCCATCATTAGCAGTTAAACCGCAGACAAGAGCAGGACGGGTGCTGTGCCTGGCAGGGCAGCGCCTGCTCCCTTCTTGTGGGGGTCCTGGCATGGGAGCTGCAAAGGGCGCGATGGTGTTTGCTCAGGCTGTGGGAAGGGTCGTTGCAGGCTGCAGAGACCCGGGTGAAAGGAGGAGCTGCGCGGGACGGTGCTGGGGCTCAGGCACATCACACATTACTGTGGTTGCGGCTCTGCAGCAGCTGCACTTGCTCTCTGCCCTGGGGAGCAGCAAGGGGAAATAGTGGTCTTAGCCCTTTCAGATCTTGTATTCAGTCTACCTGTTTTTTTTTCCCCTTTGGTTTTACACTGACTGGAGGGCTGAGCTGTAGGCATAGGGAGACGTGCAGGCAGCAGCTTTGGTCCGACAGTTTTAACACTTGCAGTGCTTGGCAGTCTGTCCCTTCGTCCTGCTTTGGGAAGCAGGACCCAGCAGCAGAGCAAAAAAGAGCACACAGCATCATAACACTGTGCAGGATTACACAGGATTACATCCGTGCAGCATGGTTTGCTGTAACCCCTCTGCCCACTCCCTGTAGCCCTCAGTGGCTGCTTCTGCTGGGGTATTTGGGGAGCTACCACTGGCACTGGAACCTCTGATGAAGATCACCCCACCAGCAGCCACAGTGGTGCTTGGGGGGATGAAGAGCTCTTCCCAGTGCAGAGCACACTGGAGTGTTCCCCGCGCTGCTGCCAGGCCAGACCTGCTGCAGCCACGCGTTGCGCAAGCTGTCGCACGATGAGGCTGGCTGCATGCACCCAGCGCGGCCCCTGTGCTGTATACCTCCCGGGCAGGTAAACTGAGAGGGGCAGGCAGGCGTCCCCCGTGGGACCTCATTGCGGGCTTGTGCTGGCTGTCCCAATGGCCATCACAGTGGCTTTTCGAGTCTTCTCCTGCCCTGTGGCTTGCAGCAGAGGTGAGCTGAGCACCTGCTGCTCCCTGGTGTGCCAGGGCACATGGTTTGTGGGGTATCTGGACCCCCTCAAGAGGTTCTTTCAGCCCTCCCAGCCCAGCTGGGGAGAGTCCCTGGGTGGGCTTGCGGCAGCAAGGAGTGGAGAGATGGCAGGAGTGACCTGCTGTCCTCCCTGCAGGGATGCTCTGCAGGTGGAGATGGGTTCGTGGGCTGCTCTTGGGCTTCCCAGTGAGATGACATAAGCTCTTCAGGAGAGGATCCTCTTTGCCCTGGACTGGGAACAACGTGCCTCCTGTTGCAACTGGTGTTTCAGGGACCGAGCTGTCCCTGGGGTCAGGCTGAGTGTCCCCAGGGCAGGACGGCCGCTGGCCACGCTGGGTCCCCCGTGCTGTGGCGGCACAAAGCTGAGTGCCTTTGAAGCGCCCGGCACAGCGCTCTGCGCTGCCACTGGACAGGATCTGAGCAGCCATTGTGCAAAGCAAAACAAACCCTTCCTATCGTGTCAGAGGCTCGGAGGGTGGCTCTGCTTCCAGCTGCGGGGCTGAAGAGTGAGTGCAGCCCTGCCAGAGCCGGCTGATAACCATCTCCCCTTGCAAAAGAGTTCAAGTCCCCGCTCCTGGAGGGTGATGTCACTTTATCAGCACTTGAAGGCTCCTGATAAAGGGATCAATCTAACTCTAACTGCATCCCCACTGGGGCTGCAAACACAATGTACAGGGTGCAGCCAAAGTGAGCGCAGCCGGGGCCCCGTGTGCTCTTTCACCTTTGGGAGGGTCGCGGCTGCCCAGACCCCGCACGGCGCAGAGCTGGGGCCGGGAACAATAGTGGCCACGGCAGTGCTGCGGCCGGGGTGGGCGATTACCAAAAATCATGTGCTTACCCCGGCTGCAACAGAGGCAGTTTGTCAAAGTCCCATTTTCCTTTCCCTGATAAGATAGGGCTTGCGGAGTACAATAATGCTTTCCTGAGATACAATTGTGGCTCTTCTACCCGGCACACACACAGGGGAGGCTAATTTTGGCCTTGCTGGGTTGGCAGGGGGTGAGAGGAGGCCTCCATCCGTGTCGGGGCTGCGGTCCAAGGGGCAGAGGGGCTCTCTGAGCCCCAAGGACCAGGACGGCCCCAGGGGCAGCAGGGTCGCACTGGCTCCCGTGGGCTGGCACGCTCCCTGCTCCTGGAAGATGTCACGGCTGCAGAAGGAGCTGTCACCGCTGGCTTTGTGCTATGGAGCCGATACGATGCAGCACGG